GAGTGCCGTGGCCACCATGGGGGCCAGACTGCCCCTCTTCCTCCTCCTGACCCTCCTGGGCAGCTCACAAGGAGCAGGTGAGGCCGCAGGGCTGGACACAGGGGCCTTGTGGCCGGAGGTCGAGAAGGGGAGCTGGAGGGACAGAGGCACCGGGACCTGAGCCCGAGTTCAGGGCGAACCGCTGCCAGAGGGGCCGGAGGGCCTGGTGCGGAGGGAGAGGGAGCGGGGTGCCCGCACCTCGGCCCTGGTGGCTGGGTCCTGAGCTGTACTCCTGGGTCCCCAGGGCCGGGGATGACCCTGCGGCTGAAGCTGAAGGATTCCTTTGTGGCAAATTCATCCTATGGCTCCAGCTTCCTGGAACTGCTCCAGAAGGTAGCTCTTCGGGAGGGAGAGGGTGGGGCTGTGGGAACTCCAGTGTGTTCTGAGTGGGTTTGGAGCTCACTGCTGGCTCCTGTGTGAGAGCCATTAACCCTTCTCTCCGCAGCTCTGCCTCCTGCTCCACCTCCCGCCAGGGACCCGCGTGACCCCCCATCAGGCAGGATCCCCACACCACGTCACCTGCGCAGGCTGAGAGCAGTTGGAGCTGCCCTGGGGGGCAGGGGTGGCCCCAGCTTCAGCAGGCTCCCTGCTGCATGGCAGTAAATATGCTGAATCCCTGGCTGAGGGCGGCTGTGGGTTCCGAGTAGAAGGCGGCTGTGGGGCGGCTGTGGGTTCCAAGTAGAAGGCGGCTGTGGGGCGGCTGTGGGTTCCAAGTAGAAGGCGGCTGTGGGGCGGCTGTGGGTTCCGAGTAGAAGGCAGCTGTGGGGTACCTGTGGGTTCCGAGTAGAAGGCGGCTGTGGGGTACCTGTGGGTTCCGAGTAGAAGGCGGCTGTGGGGCGGCTGTGGGTTCCGAGTAGAGGGAGGCAGAGGGTCCGGGAAGGGCACCCTCTCCCTCAGTGCCCTGTCCACACTGGCCGGGTTCCTTAGCTCCTCTCCCAGAGGGTGGACTTCCCAGAGCGGGAAGTTGGGTGAAAGGCCTAACACCCACAGCCCGGATCACCTTCTGCTCACAGGCTGCCTCCTACTCCGTGGCGGGGGTGGCAAGCGGGGGGCCACCAGCCCTCCTTTATGACAGCCATGGGGATCCATCCGCCTCGGGACTCCCCATCATACCCACCATGGGGCCATCTCACACGGGAGTGGCCTGCGGCCCAGACAGCCCTGCCTGTGGGCTTTGCAATCCGGACAGCTGTGTTAAGCCCCTGAAAACCCTCTCCATTCTGGGAGCACTGTCCTGGCCCCTCAGAGTCACTGACCGGTTGCCGGGCCCTGAGAGCCAGCTTTCTGCCTCGTTCCCGGGGATCGCCCTTCCTTGAGGACAGGGACCTTCTTGCTGCCACCCAGAGTCTGGACCACAGGGAGGTGGGGCGTTGGCGTCCTCTGTGACCCTCCGCATTCACGCGGCCCCACCAGCCTACCCACCAGACCACTCTCAGCTGCTGACCTGGCGCCAAGCCCTTGATCACCTGACCCATTCCGGGTGTTCACCGGGGCCCAGCCCACACCCTCGGTCCGGGTCATGTCACCACTTCCGGCTGTCCACCTGGCCACGCCCCTGATGACGGAACCACTTCCAGCTGGTCACGGGGCCCCACCACCCCTCGCTCACCTGACCTCTTCCAGGTGTTCACCTGGGTCCATCCCACCCCCTCAGTGCCTGGTTATGTCACCACTTCCGGTTTTCCACATGGCCTCGCCCCCTTGATGATGTAACAACTTCCACCTGGTCACCGGCCCGCCCCATCGCTCATCTGACCATTTCCGGCTGTCCATCTGGCCCCGCCCCCTTCATGAAGTAACCACTTCCCAGCCCACCCCTTCGGTCTCGGGTCATGTCACCACTTCTGGAAGTCCTCCTGATCCCGCCCCCTTGATGACTTAACCACTTCCAGCTGGTCACCGGGCCCCAACCGCCATCACTCACCTGACCACTTCCGGCTGTCCACCTGGCCCGCCCCGCTTGATGACATAACCACTTCCAGCTGTTCACCGGGCCCCACCCCCCCCCCTCGCTCAACTGACCACTTCCAGGTGTTCACCTGGGTCCACCTCACCCCCTCAGTGCCTGGTTATGTCACCACTTCTGGCTGTCCACCTGGCCCCGCCCCCCTGAAGACGTAACTACTTCCAGGTGGTCACGGCCCCGCCCCCCATCACTCACCTGACCACTTCCGGCTGTCCACCTGGCCCGCCCCCTTGAGACATAACCACTTCCAGCTGGTCACGGGGCCCCACCACCCCTCGCTCACCTGATCACTTACAGGTGTTCCCAGGCCCTGGTTCACCTGACCAGTTCAGGCTGGTCACCTGGGCCCTCCCTCTTGTTTTCGAGACACCGCCCCTAGTTCACCTGACCACTGAGCCACGCTGGCCGGGTTCCTTAGCTCCTCTCCCAGATGGCTGGATTTCCGGATTGCAGGAAGTTGGGTGAAAGGCCTAACACCCACAGCCCGGATCACCTTCTGCTCACAGGCTGCCTCCTACCCCGCAGGCAGGGGGACACCATCCCCCCTTTAAGACAGCCATGGGGGTGTATGAACCTAGGCCCTACATCGTCCTCACCATGGGGGCTTCTCACACACCCATCCACTCACCCACTACATGAACTCAATTGAGAGAAGTGTATGGATTTCAGTTAGATCAAGCAAAATAGTTCAGAATAGAGATGGGGGGTGTTGGGAATTTTGCTGATGATTCAGTGGGAGTTTGAGAGGCCCTGTGGCAGGTTTGGAGTCACTAAGTCCAGGGTTCGAATCCTGCCTTCCATGTTATGGACCGTGTAGGTTTTTGGATGCTTCTTGACCTCCACGGTGACCCAGTTTCCTCGCCTATGGCTCTTACGGAAGCTTTCGAAAATGAGGCATGCGAAGTGCAGGCAGATGATGACTGCCAGGCCCAATTCTTTTCCATCCTTTTTTTCTGACACCTAAAGTTTCAGCTACAGCGTCTGAGGATCAAACACATGTCAATGACCATCTTATCAGCTGTTCTCCAAGCGAGCGCTGTGTCTCCTGACTGCCCTCCCTCTCTCAGGGCCCTCCTCCCCACCCCACATCAGTTAAACAATTCTAGCACATTCCATTCCTCCCAAGGAAGGAACCCAAGTACATATTATCCCGAGACCATGAGGCACCTGGCAGTTTCTGATCTTGAGTATTTCCTTCTTTAAGCTTCTATCCTTGTCACAGCCCAACAGAACCTAATGTCCACTCTTAAGACAGCTATTGAATATGCTAGAGGTGAGTCCTAGTGATCAAAGTGGGGACAGCAATGCCTGTCTCCGTGGAGAGCTTACCTGAGCTTACCTGAGCCAGCGTGGCCCAAGTCTCTCTCTGCGCCTGGAAGATGATCCAAATGCTTCCTTTCGCCTTGTCTTCTTGCTCTTGTAGGGAGAGGGAGAGAGAGAGAGAGAGAGAGAGAGGAGAGAAGAGACGAAAGGGAAACATGTTAACCTGTCAACAGGCCCTGCCACCTCCATGGGATGCAGAGGTGGCCCCGTGCCTTTGGGGACAGACCTGTGAGGCAAACAGATACACACCAATGCAAAGGGAAACTCATTCCAGCCACGAGAGCAGCTGCCTTGTCCTTCACTGGTCAAGCAAGGACTGCCAGGCACCCGGAGTCACCAATAATGTAAAGAAAAAAGTAACAGAACCACCACCTCGGGAGGGAGAACGTGGAGCTGTAGGATAAAGATGGAGAAAATGCTTTTAACATTGTAATTAGCATCACCAGAGAGATTTCAAAGTAAGTTTCATTCGAAGACTATTTTCATTGAAAAAATTAATATTGCATTGATCAACATCACAAATGCAGAGCCATGATTTCAGCTCAGCTTAAAATCTCATTATTCTGATTATAAATGTACCAAATTTCAAGAAAGCATTCTGAGGAGGCTTTATCACTTCACAAAACTCCCTTTCATACTTGAAATTGTCGCATTAATAAACTTATCGCACTTGATTTCCTTCATAAGGATTGAAATATTTTTCTGCCTCAAAAAACCTTCCAATTACTTAAGTAACTCCTTATTTACCCAAGTGGGTAAATCTAACCAATTCAACTTATAAGTAACATGTATCCTAAATATTCCAATATTGTTTCTAAACATAAATGTTCCGTTTAAAATCACAAATCTAAATCGATTCTTCAACCGTAATTTTAAAAAATGAACCCACTAAAAAAACAACAACAAAAACAAAGAAAGTCTCCAAGGTAGAGCTGCCGGAGCCTGAGCCTTGGCCTCTCACCTTCCTCCCCAAACAACATGAGCTTCAGCGCCCACTGCAGCTTCTCCAGCACCCAACCCCCGGGCCTGGGCGCGGGCAGTCACAGCCACCGGCCCGGCCCCGATGGCCAGCGGCGTGGCCAACATCTATCTACCCAGGCGCCAGGGACTCGGGCTCCCGGATCTCCGTGTCCCACTCCAGGGCAGCTGGGGGTCCAGGGCCTTGGCTGTGGGGGTGGTCTGGGGCCTAGCAGGCATCAGGGGCATCTGGAGCAAGAAGGAGGCCAGGCAAAGCCTGAATGACTACCTGGCCTCCTGCCTGGAGAAGGTGAGGAGCCTGCAGGCTGGTGATGAGAGATTGGAGAGCAAAACCCGGACACCTGGATGAGACGGGACCCGGATCAGAGGGCTCATAGTTGTGATGGCAGACAGGTTGTGAACTCAAGTGATCGGCAGGGGCTGCGGAGTCCTGAGGTGAGGTGTTTCAGTGAATTGTTTGCGGAAGGGCTCTGCCTGTTCACTCTCTCGGTGAATTCGCAGCCTGAGGGCGTGACTTATTGAAGTCCCCTATTGAGAGGTGGCATGAGTCTCCCCGGCCCCGAGTCCTGAGTTTGGCCCAGGTTCTGACCCAAGCGGAGTGCTTGCAGGGGGCCCTTTGTGCCCTGGCATCTGTACCGTCGCCACGAGAACACGACTGGCCAGCCTGCTGGGAGGAGGACAGAGACACGGGCAGCCGAGCCCCAAGCCGAAGGCCTGCCAAACCCAGGTCATGGGAGGGAGCCTCACTGAGGCCTGAATCACTGACCCACCGACACTCTTGAGCTGAAGAGATGTGTGCTTGAAGCCGCTGCGTTCTGGGTGGTTTGTTAGGCAGCGTGACTATGGCCATAGACAAGTGCTGAGAGGTGCGTCTGCCATGGTGCAGACTTCCGGTGAGGTCTTCAGAACACCAGGGACGAGGGTGCGACTGAGTCCATTTTGAGCCCGTCTGGTCCCAGGCGCGCGCCCCTGAGTCAGTGCCTGCAGCCGCATGGACTTCATTAGCCGACCTCACAGACGGGACATTGAGGTTTAGCGCTCAGGCCGCACCCGAGGCCCATTAGCGGTGGCGAGGTCATGCCAGATACCTGGGCTTCAGAGCATCTCCCTCTGCTTTAGCTTTGAGGCTGGGGGCTCGGAGCCTGCCAGGGATGTGGACAGACACCCCCAGGACATGAGCTCCCTGACCCAGGGGTCCACCCAGGTCCATCGGGTGGAGGGTGGAGGGAGGCAGCTCAGGTGAGAGGCGAGGGATTCCACTGACGACAGGATGGCCACTGGCCCCGGGGCGGGCGGGCAGCCACACAGACCCACAGTTGAGTCCTGGGTGTTTCTCACCCGCATGGAGCCTGCCTGTCTCCCCCTGCAAACGGGACTCCTGCCAGCACCTGCCTCGCAGGATTGCTGAGGCCACACGGACCCGCTACCTGGGCACATGCCGCGTGCCTGCCAGAGAAGGGCCAGCGACGGGGGTGGTTATTAGGGTGGAAAGCCGGTCCCATCGGGCTGCAGGTGTCCCCCTCGTTTCCTCAAGGCAGGCTCACCTGACTCCCCACTTGAGACCGTCTTGACTTCTATTTTTTTAATCCTCACCTGAAGATATTTTTCCATTAATTCTTAGAGTGGAAGAGAGAGGGAAAGACAGAAATATCTAAGTGAGAGAAACACATCGATTCGTTGCCTTCTGCATGCGCCACGACCAGGGCCTGGGCCGGGAAGGAGCCTGCAACCAAGGTACGTGCCCGGGATTGATCAGAATCGAACCCAGGATCCGTGGGTCCGCAGAAGACCGTCTTGACTTCTTACCAGCTGTCTCAAACTGCAAGCATGCCTCCAAGCCCTGCCCGCTTGGGGTGTGGACAGGATTGCTTCCTGCTCTCACAGTGCCCGCCTGCCTCCTGTCCACCCACCCAACACCGTCAGCACCTAGGAAATGAGCGCCGGCTGCTCTGGAGGGAGGAGCCCCTGAAGCGAGGGGAGCATAGGAAGTGGGAGAGTGAAGACAAACTCAATCCCCCTCGTTCCCGCTGCACCTGTCCTGGGAGTTAGCCCAGAGGAGCGGTGGCTGAGGGCCCGAAGGGCCCCTATGTCATGACTCGCCCCCGACCTGCCTGCACGGTGGGCAGTGGCACCTCTGTGTTGGCCCAAACAAGCTGGGGAACTAGCAGTCTGGATCCCCACGTGACTGGAGCAGACTGCTTCAGAGCCTGGTCCTTAGATCTCAGGACCTGAGACTACGGGGCTATGACTTCCAGATGCTTTTCTCTAAGAATTCTCTCCCCAAACTCACGACATCAGTGCAAAGAATGCTTTGGGGTTCATTAGCCCTGGGGTGGCAAGCACGCTCCTCCTTTTGGACAGCCAATGTGAACTTCAGCTGGGCAGCTGGCTCGGCCGTCTCCGGCCTCCCTCGCAGCTAGGAATGGCTGTGGTTGGGGTCCAACGGGATGCAAGCAGAAAGGAAGTAGGCAACTTCCAAGGCAGCAAAGCCCTTACAATGGCCAACAAGCTCCTGGACCAGCACTTCCAATAGGACTTTCTGATGGAAACACTTTGGAGCCTGCACTGAGCGACATGGTAGCCACCGGCCACATGTGGCTGTCAGGCCCTTGATGTAGGACCTGAACGTTGAACTTTGTAAATTACTGTAGACAGCCAAATGGCTGCCATTTTGAACAGCACCACCCTGCATAACCCTCCTGAGCCTTCCTCCCCCCCGCACCCAGCACTCCGCACTGCACTCACCCCCGGCACTCAGTTCCCCAGACATGCTCCACCCACTCTCCTTCCCCGAGCTCGCAGCTCCCCGACATCCACTCCCGGACATCCTCACCTCCTGCAATGACTCCCACCTGACCCATCTTAATACTACAACCTGCTCTCCACACACACACCAGGCCCCTACCCTCTTCCTTCCCCCAGCTTTCACGACCTTCAGACACACTACATATTACGTACTTATGTCATTTCTGACTTTCCCTGCTAGAACCAAAGTACTACCAGGCAGAGATCTTGGTTTCGTTCATTCACTGATGAATCCAAGGGTGCAGAACAGGGCCCAGCACAGAGCAGGTGCTGAAGCAATAGCTGGTGCCGTTGGGGAAGAGACAAGGAAGCTGCCCGCCGCTTCCTCTCGCTCTGGGCAGGCATGTGGATGTGCTGGTGGGGCCGGGCAGATGTTAGATCTAGTTAGAAAGTGTAGGGCGGAGGAGGAGCGGCCGCCAGCGCAGAGCCACCACACACGTGAAGCTCGGTTACAGCACCAGAAAGAACTGCATGTAAGTCATTGGCTAAATCCCAGGTGATACTTTTTACACAAACTACTTTTAATCTCTGAGCACATTCCTTCATCTCAGAAATGGAGAGAACGCCCCCAACTCTGAGGTCTCAGGGTTAAGCAGTACCAGGGCGGGCGCAGCTGCGAGCGGCCACCATGGAATTGGGCCTGGAAGGGCCAGGCCCTGAACACCACTGCCACGAGGCAGCAGCTGGGGTGGGCGGTGGGCGTCTGCACATCTGTGTGCCCGTCAGGGACGGCAGCGTCCCTGCACGCATCTCAGCAGAGTGGGGCGCGCTCCCGGCAGCCCCTCCGGCCTGGAAGAAGTCCCTGCTCCTCTCAGCCCCCACCAGAGGGGCAAGGAGAAGGGAAGGGCAGGCAGGAGCAGCGGCACTGTCAGCAGACCCGGCAGTAGTGGACTGTGTCACTGTGCCTGCACGAGAAAGCTCCGCTTCCCTTCAGCGAGGCAGCCCTCCTGTCCCGGCAAGAACCTCGGGGACAAGTGAGAGGCAAGAGTCATCACTGGGGGAAAGAGGGACAAAAGAACCACAGGCAGACGCGTTTGAGACTAAGTTTATCTGCCTTCCTTGCGCCCAAGCTTCCCGGTGGGGCTGCACTGGGCAGTGGCAGGAGTGCGAGCGTCGAGTGGCCATGCTGGTCTGCTCCCGGGAGCGAGGGGCACCACAGGGGTTCCGAGGCCCCCGGGGGCTGCAGGATCAGTCTGTCCTCGCAGGCAGGTCTGGCGGCGGAGAAGCGCCAGGTGCGAGGGCTCACGGTTCCCTGGGGCTGGGAGACGCCGCCATCAGCTGCCTGAGGTGAGAGGCCGCCTGGTCCAGTTTCGACAATTCCAGGTGGAGGGAAGCAAGCTGGACGGGCGAGACGCAGTAAGGATCCGCAGGAGGCCCACCCTCCCTCCACCCTCCCTCGGGGGGCGGGCTCCCTGGGCAGCCTCCCAGCCTCCCCCTCTGCTGCCGCCGAGCCTCAGCCTCCCCCTCTGACGGCGTCCGGGCCACGAGGCCGTCCAGCTGCTTCTGCAACTTGTGCCTTCGGGCAGCCAGCAGAGGCAGATGGGCCTGCGGGTCCACCAGGCCCTGCAGAGGACAGAGGCGTCGCGGCCGCCCTGCGCCTCCCACACGAAGACCCTCCTCACGGAGAGAACTTGCCCTGCCCTCCGCCCCACAGCCTTTCTGACCCTCCCCTGCTCCCCGCTCCTCTGGGCACCTGCAGCTCCATGTAGACCTGAACGCTGTCACTGAGCGGGGCCTGGGCCCAGCCGGAGGGGGCGGCTGCACCTGCGGGCAGGAGGCCCACAGCCCCGCAGCGGCCCAGGGTGCTCAGCGGCTCCAGGAAGGCCTCGAAGACACCCTGCTCTCCAGGCTCGGAGCTCTGCAGCAGCACTGGGGGAAAGGGGCCGGTCAGGGTCAAGGCCTGCCCCAAGCGCTCCCCCTGCCTCGCCAGCCGCTGCTTCTCCCGCACGCACTGGGAGCCCAGGCCACGCCTCACCTCGGGGCCGGGCCTTGGTGAGCTGGTACGTGGCCCGGAGAGCCCTCAGCGCCTGCACGGCCTCCTGGACCCGGGAAAAGCGCTGCTCCAGCTGGGGGCAGTGCCAGCGCTCCTGCAGGCGGACCAGACTGGGGCTGAGCAGCAGGCTCCTGGGACCCGCCAACTCTCCTGGCTCTGCCCCGCCCACCCGCGCCTCTGCACCACCTCAGGGATGTCACCCGCAAAACCTGGGCACCATCTACGATCTTAGATGATCAGTGGCTGTTGTCTGTTCAGTCGCTCTGACTGACAATACCAAACAACCAAAAATAAAACATTTCAAACGTATTATTCAAAACTCACAAAAGCACGTAACTCACAAAACACATCATTTAAAAACTCCGTCAAGCTTGAAAATGATTTTGGGGTAAGTTTGCGGCCTTCATCCTTTGCAGGTTATTAAAGCTTAAAACTGCACAGAGACTTTGGGACATCCTGTTACTAGCATCCACCCTCATCACAGCATGGCACTGCCTGCTACCATCCCGGTTTAACGACAGGGGAAACTGAGGCACGGTCGCTCTTGCCCACGGTGCTGACAGGGCTCCCCGAGGCGCTGCAGAACTCCAAAGCCTCCGAAGCGAAGTATCAGCTGTTAGTGACCCACAGCTAACCCTTTCGGAAGACCCCCGCCTCGGGCCACCCCAGGGATGTGTGACTCACCAGGCTTTGGGCACTGGGATAGGGGGCAACAGAGATGCTGGGGGC